TGTCCGTAACATTTTTTATCCAATTTCTGATTGTTTTTAGAACTCATTTTTGGGTATGACCCTTAGTATACTGGAAAAATTGCAAATCCAATGATTTCCTGGACTTGTTTTTTCCTTCTGAAAGGTGTTTTATTCAAGTTTGGAAATAGAAACAAGTCAAAAGGTCAAAGATCTGGCAAATATTGTTAATGTTAAAAAACATTAACTTTCTGTTTATCCCGTAAACCCCTTTACTCTTTAGGGCATGCGGGTTTAAAGACTGTCATGAAGAAATTCAATGTAGTGGATTCCTGATTCTGGGTCCTTTCTCTGATAAACCTTTCGATTTCTTTGCAAAAAAACTGCTTTCTAGACACCTCCAGATATTAAACTGTCTCCCCGAATACGAATTTGAACAAAAATACCACTAATATTTAAGAAAATTGCATATAAATCTGTTTTTGTGCTCTTGCATACCTTTGCTCTTGACAGACCTTCGCCGTTTTTATCAAGTACATCTTATGGTAAATTTTGTTTTAATGGTTTTAAGCAATAGATTCATGTTCCAATATCTGTTTGAATATAAAACAAGCGTGGATTACCACAATTACTGATATTTTAAAATAATTGTTAAGACTTTTGTACATGCTGTCGTTTTCACTCATTTTTCAAAATACAGGGTGACCTTAGAGTACCAAGCTTAATTACTGTCAAACGTTTCTTAAAAACATTGTAAACTACTCCCGATATGATGTCTATCAAATTTGCTATGTGTCTTAAAGTCAATCATACAACATCAAATATTATTTGTTGAAATTTGGCAAATAGTACATAAGTTGTTATAATTTTTGTTGGCAAGGAGGGTACCCATTTTTGATGCCCATTATATAATTTTTTATCTTTGAAATCCACCTGCTAATTTGTCTATAAAACAGGCATCGGTTGCTGTAAATGTCACATATTTAAGTGAATATTTCTTTGGGATTTTTAACAAGTTTTACAGCAGCTTTAATGTAGCTTTTATTTTCACTCTAATTTACTGATTCTTTACCATTCATTTATAATGCAGTGTCTCGAATAGCCCTTGTTTCCCAGCTTCTCACAATAAAACTATGTGATGAAAAGTGGTCACATAAACTGTTATAAATTCATTAAAGACTCAATAATGAGAGAAAGTCAAGCTTTATGTCATATGACTACTATGTTGTATGTCATCGAGCTAATGACATTATTTATTGAACGCCCCTCGTATAATCCTCTTTCCTCCTTTTTTTTCACAGAAGTAATAATTGGCCAATTTGTAATATCACTCACTTTAGAACACTGGCAAGAAGAAAATACATCAGTGATAAAAATTTATCCTTTGTATTCCTATTAAAAACCTAGATTACTGTATAAGTGGAAATTCTTCTGAGACGCAAATTTAGCGACTTGTCCTTTAAAAAGGGTATTTCATTTTTAGCTATAAGCAATTTTAGCGATTTTTAAATGCTCACTTAAGGGGGATGTACAAGCCATATTGGATCTAGTCTGGTGTAAACTAAGAAATACCAAGAATGCGCTTAATACTCTACTAAACTAGCTCAAAGTTACTCAAAGTGCTAATACACTAATTACCTACTGTTAGAGACCAAAATTAGTAAATGATTAAGTTTATTTACTTAATTAGAAGAAAATTAATCATGTTAGAACTGCGCAGCTACAGCATTCATGATATGAAAAATGCATTGAAAATGGAGTTAGTTTGATTCATTGATAATATGGCTACAATCATTTGTTTCGTTTTTTTCTTGTCATTATCCATAATTCTTAAAATTTGATTTTTCATATGGGTGTCTTCCTGAGGCCATGTGTTTATTTCGTCCGCCATTCCTCTGTCACACAGAGTTCGAATAACAATGATTTTAGAATAATTGCGACCATAATAACACCAAGACAAGAAATTACTAAGTAATAATCATTAGGTTATATTACTTACTACTTTTATTTGTTGCAGCGCATCGTCTGATTCATGAAAAAACGCGATTTTAACCTCACTCCAGCAAATCGGGAAAAACTGTTCTGTTTACAACTCGAAATTCCTCGCTAATATTATTCCACTAAGCACATGGTTGGCATGTGCATATATCTGCTGTAGATAGATGCGTTTATTACCATGATTATATTAAATTTTTCGTGAAACAAGTCTTGATAATTTGTTGATTTCTTTAAAACTCAAGAAAAAAAGATAAAAATGTCCTAAACATATGTGTTTACGGTGGGTCTTTTTTCTGTGGCGATAGAAGTTATTTTCAAATGGGGCACTGCAAGGAGGATGCTTAGCATTTAATTTGAAAATGTTAAACAACACGCAGTGCATGAAAAATAAATTGTAATTACATGTCTTACATTCGAAACGTTGGTACATATGTCTATTTTGTTTATAAGTTAGATAGAAAAAATAGGCAGTTATACGATTTCCTTCAGGCACCTCACATAAATAGCTAGAATGTTTGCAATGACCCATACATTGTATGGGGTCATGTATACACATCATAAACGCATCATGTCTCATTATGTTGACAACGTTGTAATGACTACATCATAAACCAGACTCTGGGAAAGGGTAGAGATGACTCGCTCATTGAACATACGAAGCTTGATAAAATATAATGAGTTGTTTCTATGAAATTTAAAGCGAGCACAATGTTTGCAATGAAAGGTCCATTGCATATGCTATGTACTATCATCGCAAAAAAAGTGAGTGCAAACCCCCCCCCCCCCTATACTTCATCAAAATCCTTTGTTTGTTTTTCAAAATAGTGTCAAAGATTAAAAAAAATGCATTACTAAGTATGTGATGGAACATGTACTATACTTATAATACCACTTGTTATAAAAATATTTGGTTGACCTCTCTCCCTATATACTACTGCCTAGAACCCGACTCTGGGAGAAGGGTAACATTCCATTACACGATATTTTTTTACTTTTTCTTCATAAACAATTCTGTTTAAATTTTAAGGATTTTTTTTCTTACCTATAAATACGGACATCAATAATTTTTCCCTGGGAGTTGGGAGGACCACCAAACATCATTTTAAATATTTATATGTTGACAGATCATATACTACATCCCAGACTTTCTCTTTACTTTGTACAATTGTAATTTTGAAAATATGGGCACATAGAAAAAAAAATTATGTTCAAACTAAATAAATTATTTCAACCCACACTATAACACCTTTCCTCTTTTAAAAGTGTTCATATTATTTGAAATATTTTGCAGCTGTAATTCTATTCTACATTTAAAGATTGTTATGCCCCTCCATATTAAGAAGAGGTCTGGAAAACAAGATTCTGTGCTAAAAATAGACCACGTGCTGCTATCCATGAACTACTTTCATGGTTCTTTACACTCTTTTTGAAGACAATGGTACCTTGTTTTGAACTTGAAATTATCATTTAAAAGTGCAAAATTTAGACATTTTACTACAACAAATGGTTGTAGAGAGAACATTAATGCACAGTTTGCATATTTTTTTGGATTTTTTAAACCAGACTCTGCTGAATTCTGTAGCTGCGCAGTTCTAAGGAGCATATCAAAAGCATTTTTCTGCAAAAGTATAGATTATATATGCACAACATACATTCGGTTATGCATATTTATTGTATCTTTATGAAAAAGACTTAAAATTTGATCAAAATATAATGTATTTTAGCCATTTGAAGAAATGTTTACATTTTGCTCTCACTGTACTAAAGGTGGCCGTACATCCCCCTTAAGGTCATTGGCAACGAAGGGTTTCCGGAGAAAAAAGGTTTATACCCAGGTTTTTTTACTTATGAAAAAAAGTCATTGAGAGTGATCTCCCGTATGGAATTCTCTAGGTGCTGAAAACAAAGAAAGCATATGTAACAGACTCTGAGAGGTAAACAAAAGCACGTGTGTTTTTTTATCAGGATATATTCAACTCTACAGTAATAAAAGAAAAGCAGCGATGGGTTTGTTTACATTGTGTTGAGGGGGCAGACAGTTAACAGGTCGTCATTTAGAATAGGTAAATGATTGCTGGGAAGTGCAAGTGTTGATAGCTAGGTGGACCGAATGAGAACGATTCCATAGGTTATGTGAATGATGCACCATTAAAAAGTTACTATAAATTCTTGCAAAAATGTTTTTTAACAGTTCGTTTCCAATTAAGTGAATTATAGAATAGAAACAAACAACCACTCTCTTGGATGTTATTACAGTAAAGGGAAGTAACTCAAAATTAAAGAACAGTGCTGGTATTTCTGTGTTTTGTTTCAATATTCGCATTTTCAGCCAAATTATATGCATGTCATCGGAAATAAGGTTTCAACAATGTGTTTTATGTATAAACCTTATGAAATAAATGGGTTTTAGAGAAAACGTATGGTTAAAAATAATATAGGCCTATTTTATCAACATTTAACATAGGAAATGCATTGAAAATTGTAAAAACATTGATTTGACAAAATCGTTAAAGGAAGGCTGGCTTGATGGGTAAAAAGGACCTGAATTGAACATGTTTGGTACCATTAAACCTGTTCAAAAAATCTTGAAAAATTCTATACGAAAACCAGAAACGTTGCCAATGTCCTTAAGAAGCTATTACAAATAAAACGCAATTAATTTTTAGCGATATTCAATTTTAGCGAACTCAGCATCCTCGCTAATAATGCCAAAATTAAATTGTCGCTAAAAATTCTGCTTATAAGGTATTATCTCCCCTAGAATATTTCAATCATTTGTAAACCATTATTTCTCAGCTGAAACCATGATTACCAGAGAGTATCTGAAGGACACACATTTTGATGATGCTATGTTAAACTGCTGCTTACTTATTGGACTGCTTGACTTCTAAATTATTTTAGCACTTTATAAATATTTTGACTTGAACTTTAGAAGTTTCCTGATCCCTGTCCCAGCTCACGTGAGTTAACAATAATCCCCGTGTCTGGATTTAAATGCAAGCTGAGGTTCGAGCTAAAAAGAACATTTAATAACAAAATTACAGAGAGTATAAATTTATTCAACGCTAATTTACACAAAAAAACAGACAACAATTGAGGTAAACTTAAGTCTGCCTTCAAAATTTTTCATGAAATGGTACATGAAATTATGCCTGTCTCGAGAAACAAGAGTACATATGCAGTAATGCAAGTTTAGATTAAAACTTAAAAGATGGGAAATGGTACATTTAAAAATATTTTATTATGAAAACTACATTAAAATAGCATGCTGCCTTTAAAAAATGTTGACAAAAAACCCCTTTAATTCTCCACGATGTTTTGGATAGACAGAGTCTAGAGTGAGCACATTTGGTGTCAATGAAAAGTGAAAACTCAAAAGAACAGATTTCGAACTGTACTTTGATGTACAATTCTTTCGTATCATACAGCATATCTCTACCTCTACCATCTCAATTTTAAATCTTTATGAATACATATATATAAACAAGCATACTTTCTGTAAATCTTACATTCAGAAATATTTATACAACATGTAACTGACTGAATAGATTACACACATTTAATGATATAAAACACAAATTTCATTTTCCAGTATTCATATACAATGTATGTTTTAATAGGGACCTTTTCAACTAAAGACAAAACATATATTTTACTTCAACAACTTTTAATGAGTTTGCTCAAACTCCTATTTGGTGAAAAGTAAGGGAATGTATACCAATATGTAGTTTGCAGTATTTTTGTATTTCACAGTTAAAATTTCTATATTTAAAACCCTTCAGTAAGGGAGATAAAAAATTGTGGTACCGTATGTTTTAAATTTCATAAATATCAGAATCTGTACCATGAAAACGAATTCAAATGATTCACATGGTGAAATATACAGGGAATTTATGATAAATATACTGGTACATGTAGCACTAATGATCATGTTATGATCATATGTAACGTAATGATCATATTTCATTGGAAATTCTCATCCCCTGAAATGTCTGTGAACTTTCCTATGACCCTCATTGGTGCACATTGAACTTCACATGGACATTTACAATATCATCAATTGAAAAGGAAAGTAAAAGTTGTATAATATACATGGATGACAATCTAATTGGATTGCAAGGTACTTTTTATTTTTCTAATATGCTATAAAAGATATGAATTGAAAAGACAAAAACTTTCCAAACTCATAGTTTTATATAAAACTTTGCAAATAAACAAACCACAACTCTTATAAACCATGACAGATTCATCTAATAATTTGTCTATTAATTTCTATCACACAACACACAATCCCTCATTCAGTCAGCAGGTGCTTGTCCCAGATGTTAAGATGACTATGTGCTTCACACCCCGCAGCAGTGAGCTTTATCACTCAATAGCAAGGTTAATGTCCATCTCTAAATCACAATCTATAAGCTGGTTCTCCTTGTCTACTAGAGCAGTGAATCTCTGTGGCCCCCCTACAACATCGGTTGAAGTAGATGATACTTCAGAATCGGCGTCCGAATCGTGCTCCGATGGCTGAGACAGAGAGAGTGAGCTCAGATGAACGTCGCCACAGTCAGAGGCACTCTCTGAAGACGTGTCCAGAAGAGAAGGATTCCTGAAATACAACAAAGTAACAAAATCAGAAAATTATTACTACTCTTAACATGGTGCACGTTTTCCTATTTCTGCTAAGGCCAAAGTTTTTTTTTCTCTTGGTTTACGATTCCGCCGACCCTATTTTTCCCTATTTACAAAAATGAAAATAATGTGTCTGACTCCCAGAAACCTTGAAATTTTCTCGACCAAACGACTGTTTTTATAATGTTCACCACATCTTAAACATTCAAATGACCTCCACAAATACAGATTGTCAGGACCAACCTAGGGGGCGACTCACAGACTGTTTCTACATACTAATGACCAATGCATCGAATACTCCGTTGGAACTCCTCTAGATTTTACACTTCCGGGTATGAAAAAGTCCATCGTTACAAGTTATACACAACAAGACGCAAAACAGCAGGACAGCTATCGATGTCATGCCAAAGATGTTGGAGAAGATTTTAGATCTTTTTATTGTAAAATAATTAATTCATGCTGTGGATACAGACATATTTTTACTGCTAAATTGTAAAGTTATTAACTTCCTAAGAAGTCATGCATCGGATCCGATAAACATAAGTAGTTCAATCGGCATGCATATGTACATCAAAACTTTAATTAAAAGAAGAATTTTATATTGAAAACGAAGTTTGAAGAGAAATTAACAAAATTATGCCTATGTCAGAAGCCTGGAAATCTAATGAGAAGAGAAATTTTAGAAGTTTAAGATTAATTTTGTGCTACTATGTAAGAAATGAAAAAAAAAATGTTTGATAAACAATTAATCTGACAATAAGAAACTTTTACATTTTAATAGTAGTAGTAGTAAATTTTATTTAATGTCAATGTGGTTTTATTATTTTTTTTCTAGATATTTATATACTTTGTAATTGGGGGAAATATCTTTTAAGATTCTTTTTCTCTTGTTTAATCATTTTAAATACAATGTTTACACAGAAAAATTATTGAAATGTATGTAAGTTATAAACAATGAAATATAGTTTTATAACGATTTATCAATGTGTGCCACATACGCGCGCCAAGAAATCTCTGTAAATTTCAAAACTTCTCCCTAAATTTCTTTGAGGGAGAAATGTCTCCTTAAATTTCGGGTCTTGGTTGGTCCTTGGACACACGTATCTAAATTGTGAAAGCAATCCATCACTTTTGGAGTTTCCAAAAACTTTTTCATAAATGGAAAGGCTGACCTAAGAATAGCCAATTCACTTAGTTTTACCCATATTTGTCCCAGTTCAATGTGTCTTTTATGGAAACTCGTTCTTGTAAGTCAGAAAAATGAAAACCATCAACAGAAACAGAGCCTCTGATACTCCCATTTCTGTTCTTGGCTCATTTGACGCGTGATTCTTTTTTGTTGACATAAAACCGAATGGTAAGAAAAAATAATAATGTTGAAAAATCTTATGTGTTTATTTTTTTCATTTGAATACATTTCAATGCTACTCGAGAAAAAAATAATTATGTCAAGGTTCCATATTATTTTTATTTTTCGACCGCCCAATGCATATTTTTGTGTCAAAAAATCGTAAACCAAAAAAAATAAAAACTTTGGCCTAATTACATCACATTTCACATCTTTTAACACCAGTATCTTCACTTTCATTAAAGACCATATGTGTTTCAATGTACATATTTTATTGTACAACAAGGTGTATTATTGCAGAAATCTATCATCTTTACAGGCCTTGAAGGTTTGTTCTAGTATAAAAATATATATACACAATATCCAAGAAATGAATTAACAAAATTTTGTACCTTTCATTTCATCAAATACAGACTTTTAATGGTTCTTTGTTTCTGATTTCTATCAAAACTTCCCTTTTTGTTCTCCCCATTTTTTTTACCCTCTGTATCATTAGAACTGTTATGATATTCCAAAACAATGTATCCTGATACAAGGTTCAATGGCATGTCTAGACATACATACTCTGAACTTCTGTTGATTTGCATAACTAATTATTAAAAATAATTGTTTTTCTTTTTTTTTTTATTAGGGGTGAAACGATATGCCCCCTTCAAGGTTCAATACATATTGTATAATTTTGTCTTGGAACAGTTATTTTCTATATGAAAGACATTTAATCGCTCTTTTATACTTTGTTTTACTTAATCTTGTCACATAATTTTTGTGCATAATGCCTAGAATTGAATCGAATGTTTAACATTATCTACAAACTATCAGTCCACAAAAATGTACTTTTTGTACTTAATTATACCAAGAAACTTGTTCATGACTTAATATGCAAAACCCAACTGAATGACGATATCGAACAAAAATAAACCGAACTGATTTTAAATAGAGATTTTGTATTGTGTATCAAACTGAGAAAAAATACTGGGGTAAATCAATACCGCAGTGAACTGTTTCACCCCATTTTTTATTAATCCAGATAATTAAATAAACATTTATGATTAAAATAAAGATTGTAAACATCATACATATTAAACACATTTACTGGAATCCATTCTTGTGTACCAACCTGTGTGGTGCGGTGGTTCCATCAGCATTGGGTGGATCCCACTGGTGCAGGGCTATACGCCACAGGCGAACCTGGCTGTCCCAGGAACGACGGCTGCACTTCCTGTATTTATTTGGCGTTCTGGGATGCGTCTTTAATCTCTGGGTTCTATTGCAAATATAAACATTAGAAAGTGACAGCACATATTTACACTATCTTCAATAGTATCTTTTACACTTCAATTCATATATCTTGTTGATCGTACAAAAAAAATGATTTTAATTTTTAATTCTTTACAGACACATTCTACTGTGTTACAACATTTACATTTTAGAAGCTTGAATCTATCTTACTTGGGCACCAGTCGTATATATCTGTCATAGGCTAGGGTGTTTTTTCCATAGTCAATCGCTTTCTGGCGTCGCTCTAATACAGAAGTGTCAGTTTCCCCCTCAACTCTGAAAACCATTCATTAAAATGAGTTATATAGGAAAATTCTAATCACAACCATCAATAATGATCTTATGACCAAGATCAATAATGAATTTTTACACACATTTCCTAGAAAACTTTTTCTGCTATGTAACAATTGGGGGGATGTTTTCCCCATGAACATACCTCTGTCTATTTGACTCTTCCCCACACAGCTGAAGTTTCCTTCTTCCCCTTAAAAAAAAAAAAGAAAAACTCTATAATGAAATTCAATGGGCAAGGTTCAAGTTTTTGCAGACAAAGCCATTAACAGCTTGACAAATGGCCTAACAGAGCTAAATCTATACACATCCCTGAATCTAACATGAAATAGGGGTGGAGTGGGGGAACTTCCATCAGGCAAGGAATTTTCGAATTTTTTTGTGACCTTCATAAAATGAAAGAAAAAATGAGCAAGCTCACATACCCCATGCTCCCCCAAAACTCAAAGTGCCGAAAATCCTGGAAAAAAAATAAAGAAATTGGAATTTCCTGACGCATATCTTCATATCATGTCCTAAATGTCTGCAAAGCTTGACCAAATTCTGTGCAACGGTTCATGAGGACTTGGCTGACAAATTTTTCATCTCTATATTCAAGATATGGCCAAAAATCTAAGTTGAAAAGTGCAGAAATTCCCAGAAAAAAATAAAGAAATCAGAATTTCCTGGTAAAATGCACATCTACACATTGTGTTCTAAATATGTGCAAAGTTTGACCAAATTCTGTGCAGTGGTTAATGAGGCGTTGCGCTGACAAAAAAACAGGACTGACAGACGGGTCAAAAACATTATACCTCACGCAACCTGTTGCGTTGGGTATAATAAACATTGCCTAAAATAAAATATTATTTCTTTGCAGTTGCCTACTGACCCACTGAAAATGCACTCGACCCAAACGTTTCTTATGGCCATTTTGTAATTTTTTTTTTTTTTTTTTTTTTTAAATTTTTCAGGATATTGAAAGTGTTTCAGTGTCAATTTTTGTCTTTATCAATCAGTAGTTTATACTGAGAGTGGAGCTTATTCATGTATAGTAGGCCTATGAAAAACTTTATTTTATGTTATCTAACAAAAATCTGAAAACAATTTTTTTTCCAAGAAAAAAAAAAAGAATGCCTTCCTACCTACCCAGTCTAAAAATTATAGGTCGGCAACTGCAAACAAAGATTTTTGTTAAGCTTGGCCCATTTAAAACAATCCACATTCTAAAAACAAGGCCTTGATATTTTTGGTTTCCCAGCCAACCATAAATAATATGAATCAACCCTGAAAATTTTTCTGACATTGACAGGATGGATACAAAACATGTATAAGGTACGTAGTACACTGCTTTATGAAGTATATATTTATTTTCTAAATTTAGCCCTACTTGTACATTGATCGTTCGCGGTCCCTGATCTCCATTTCTTCAGCCCAATCTCTGACTCTTGTTTGGCTCCCTAATTCAGCTGCTTCAGGCGTGTAACTGTGAAATATCAAGATTTAAAAGGTCAAATACATAAGTTAACATTGAATTGAAATGTTAGTGTAATGTGTTCCATTACCTCTAAAGTTGAAGTTTTCTATCATGTAAAAAATTATTTTAAAATCAAGTAAATCTCTGCCATGTTTTTTTTAAACATTTCATACTGTAAGTACTTCTGAGTTGTGTTTAATACCCTTGGTAATTTTTTTTTCGAAATACATGATGGCAAATTTTGGGTCTTAGAATCTGCCTTAATCAGGACTACAGAAAACCTTTGGTCTTCCAGTCCTTTGGTCCAATAGAAAACAATCCTAAAATTCTAGCACCTATTAACTGTTAATTTCATGTACTTATTTTTTCTGAAAAATCAATTGAAAAAAAATCTATTGTGAAAATTACCACAGGTCTTTTCGTAGTGGGGGAAAATCACCATCTTGCACCTTTTCCGAGAATTCTATTTTTTTCCAAATGGGCCTTCTGTTCCTTTAATAAGAGAAAGAACATTATCTTTATTAGTATAACTATGCTGATCTTAATTCACAATCACATCTGTGTATTACTGATCACATTAAAATCATTTATACTTTTATCTATTATTGACCAAGGGCATTAACAAGAGCCACTTGTATAGGTATTCCAAACCAGCTGTTGCTAGTGCGAGATACAAGGGATATAACCTTCACACAATATAGTTATGTATTTCTCTGATACCTGTCTCGTGACTCAGTGGTCTCCTCGTTTGCTCTGTTGTTGTAGTGATCTTTCTTTGGCTGCAGTGGACTTCTCAATGGACTCACACCATCCCTGGATCTATACCGAAATTCTTTACTCCTACAATTACAATGGTAGTGGGTTATAATTTCATCAGATGGGTGAAAAAGATGAGCAAAGTGACTATAGTGCTGTAAAATCTCAATTTGCAAAAATCTCGCTAAGATTGAAATTATTTGCCTAAGAAAGAATACACTTTTTTTGGTTTACAAAAACATGACTCCAGTCAAGACCCACTTTACCCAAAAAATACATTTTTTATGACACAAAGTTCACATCCTTTTAAAAGAAGGTCTAATTAGTAAAGGGGTAGATCACAAACATGACTATAATGCCACTGTTCAACAGGAGTTGTGTAGAAGTGGTTTATAGCATGTTTGTCTCAAAGGAAAGTGAAACTCAGTTTTCCTCAGAAGAGTTTTATGATTATTTCATAATTTTCAATATTGAAACTTTACCCATACACTAAAATATGAATTCTATATTGAATTCTATATATCTGAAGCTTAGGGCATTTTGCATGCCTTCATCACTCATCTCCTTTGTAATTGTTACAAGAAGATATTTATCTAAGTTGTATGTATAAAGTAAGTATACCTATCAATCTATGGGAAACATTATCTAGAATTTTCAGTTCAACTGATATTAAAAGTACATGTATATATAAACTACTGTATTATAACAAAGAATATTGTATAACTTGAAAATCACGTTTTTAATATATGGATGATATAAAATATTTCACCATCTATTTTGTAATGTTTTTCAAGTATTTTACAAATAATCCCGTTTTTGATTTTATAGACAGAATATGATATTGATTGAAAATCAACACATTTAAGTACTTTTTTTTAATCTACCAAAAAAAAACTTGGTTCTCTAGTTCTCCATGGTTCTTTTACTAGCATTCTGTAAAGTGCAATCATGACAATTACAAATAAAAAGAACCATATTTGGCCATATAAAATTAATCCCGCTCCATGGGGAAAAAAATCAATTTTCTCCATTAAAAGTCCTTCGCTATTTATAGCAAAAACGCCAATTCTTTAAATGTGTAAGGAAAAGATAATTTGTCAGTATAGAGAAGGCAATAGCATAAACACATTAGATTCACTGGCAGGAGCAAGTATGTAGAGAGATTGTAACTAAGTAAAAATAGACCCCCCCCCCTATATAAAACTATTCAAGATTCATTTTCTTGTAAAATTTAAAGATACACAAACCTTGTACATCTTGGTTTGAAACTAATCATGACAATTACAAATAAAAAGAACCATATTTTCCATATGGTAAGAAACTACAATTTTAAAAAGTTGTACTTTGCTACTGGCAAGAGACAAAATAAGCATGTGTTGAATCTGGCCCATTAAGCACACGTATGGTTTTTTTTTCAATATCTCAATTCATTCCTCGGCAATTTCTTGCAAAATTACGACATGATCATCAGACATGATTAAAAAATTGATAATTCCAAATAACTTATACCTGTACTCAGCATTGCGATCTGGGCGTCGTTTAAGTTTTCCTTGTGCTGAGAATCTGTGATGCCCCTCATCCATTTTGAAATTGTACCTTTACCAACAATAGGAAACGGTCCCAAAAGTTCTTTCTCTCTTTTCCCACCCAAAACAACCAGACGCAAAACAAAGATTCGCGCCAAAGTACGACGCAAGCGCTCGGTTACACCAAAGCGAAAGCATCTGATTAAATTTTTGCCTCCGGATAAAACCGGAGAATAATCAGCCAAGGTAATACCTGAGGCTTTCTTTCCCTTTAATCGTTTTAAAAATGTCATAAAAAATATAAGAGAAAACTTCAGACACAAATTTCAATCGTTTTCATGAATTTAGGAGTATTATAAGCCATAAAATATTTAATAAATGTTTATTCATGTCGTTTGAAAAAATCATTACATTCTCAATCTGGTTTGCCGAGACTCATAAAGCTTGGTTTCATTCCTTCGTTCCGATCGATGCTATGCAGAACATAATATTTATTTCTGATCTAGGCCTATTTAAAGTCTAATTTCTAAGCATTGATTACAAGAATTAAGGAAAATATACGGTAATAGATAATAGCACAAGTAGTGCTTAACATTGCAGGGGCGTGGCATCGTTTTTGAAAGTAGCAAGAGAACTTAGAGAAGAGATTCAATTTCCTAACAAAAAATTTTAAAAAAATTGACAAGCCGCCCCCTCCCCCCTCCCCCAAATAAAAATATTAAATAAATAAATGAAAATTCTCAAATTGAAAATCAAATGGCGGAAGTCCAATTCTAGTTTTAGTACCACTTTTTCCCACTAAATTTCCCTCATTTGACCATATCCTGCAACAAAAATTGGGGGGACCAGTCTTCCAATAGACATTTTCATTATATATGTAGTAAAAAGTTAGGACGGGATTGTGTGGGGGATCTAGCCCCCCCTCCCCCTTTTATGATACATGCCGCATGTATTGCATAATGTTAAAAGAAAAGTGCATACAAATAAACATCTAGGCTATAGTTTATGTGAATGGTCTTTAATAAATTTGCTCGAGAAATCAAGAATTTCTATATCTTCGATATTGTACAAGTTCATCTATATGAGTTAAATGCAACATAGGCGTCGGAACCGCTGGGGGTGGGGGTGGGGGGGGTTTAGCCCCCCCCCCCCCTCACCTTTTTTCCAAACATATACTAAGTATAGACATTGAACATTGCTTCGTAGGTTTAGCCTCCCCTCTTTCCACAGACACGTCGCAGAATAGGTTAAAAACAGGGAAAGTGGTGGTGTTTAGAAAAAAATTGGTACTGAAGTTCGACATACCCCCCCCCCCTAACGAAACAGGATTTTCGTGTTTGAGAAATGGAATTTCTCTTTTTTTTTTTTTTTTTTTGAAGGTATAAAAAAGTTTTCTTTACACTTAGCCCACCCCCCTCACTTTCAATTTGCTTCCGAAGCCAATGTGCATAATCAAAGATTCGCTCAAGATTGATAAAACGAAACACTGCTTTGTGGGGAAATTTTGTGCTTTCTTATCATATTTTTAAAATCATATCTAAACACATATATGTAAAATCATTCATATATTTCAGTCTTTTACAGAAGAAAAAAAGGTGTAAAGGTCAGTCCACAGGCACCTGAAGTATGGATAATACCCCCCCTTTTTTTAATGAAAAAAAAAATGAAAAAGTGTAAAATATCTCAAAAATATAAAAATTTTCCCGTCAAACACATCTATATGTCGTTATATGCAAGCAGATTGTACTTGTACTTTTTTTAAAGAATGACCCTATCTGTATATTTATTATACCGAATAGGGCCATTCTTTAAACGTGAGAAAAAGTACAATCTGTTTGCATATAACGATATATAGGTTTGACAGGGAAATTTTATATTTTTGAGATATTTTACACTCTTACATTTTTTTTTCATTAAAAAAAAAACGGGGGGTATTATCCATACAGGTCTCAGGTGCCTGTGGTCAGTCATCACTCGATCGTATCTGGGGGCCGATAGAATGAGCTTTGTCTCTCGATTAACGTATAATTTTGGCTCAATCTTATGCTTTTTATTGTTTCAAATTAATAGAAAATATGCAATGTTCAAGTGGTTTTTAAGACCACTATCAGTCGCAGGAGGGGGGGGGGCTTTCCGTTTTTATGCGGACTCATATTTTTTAACCTGCTCCTTTGTTTATCCTTGTCAATATTCACAAAGATTTCATTGAGAGATACGACAAAATATGCATGGAGTAGTAGTTGGTTGCTATAATTACTGTACGTTATATGTAAGCAGAATTGTCTGTTAAAATGCAGTGAATACACAAAAATTGTTGTCAACAAAGCTACTTCCTGTCTACACACGTAATAAAACCATCGCTCCGATTGGTCGATTTGGTCTTGTTTTTCAAACACTACGGCGGCGCTTTATGTGCCCAGACACATCTTTTACACAAATGAACAAATTCTATTAGAAATTGAACATGGGGTACTAGCTATGTAGCAATACTTGCCTCAGGCTGGACTTTGTGTTCTTTGCTTATTCGAATCGCATGAGGAGCCGTTGTGAGGGAAGCGGGTGCTAAGTTCGGGATTTGTCGCGTTGTGTATTGTATCTTGGAGGCTGTGACAACAAATCGACTCACCCTGGGGCTTATCTGTAGCGTAAGAATTGCATGCGAACCTTGGCATTAACTGCATTCTTGGTTTTATAAGAATATACCCTATCGTTCTTTATGTTTTCCTCTGACATTGTGATTTTCTTTGTTCAAATGTATGCAGGGAATGGAAAATGTCGAATCTTGGGAAAAATGACAGACCTTCCCAGTTTCACCAACCATTAAGAACTATTGCCACAAGTAACACGATTCAGAATTTATTTTTACGAGAAAAGGCAAAGATGAATTCTCCAATGTCAAATCTGGCTTTGAACTTGAGTGAACTAAGTACTGGAAGGTAAGTGTGACATAGGTGAGAAGACAGACAGGTACCGTATATACTCGCCTATAAGTCGGATTTTTGAGAGCTAATCCTTGGTCCAAAACTCTATGTCCGACTTATAGGCGAGCTATAAAATGAATGGTATGATATGAGGTCAGTCCCTCTGATATATACGCTCATTAAATACAACCGACTTATAGGCGGACCGACTTATAGGCGAGTATATACGGTAAATGTGATGTGTATTGCTGTGCTTTCCAATGAAAGGTATCAACTGTCATCAAGTCCCTCTTTTTTTAGGGGATAAGTAATGCATATGGGTATATAAATCTGTTGTTGCTTTTTTAATTAGGTGGGCTTCCTCCCAGATTATCATGAATAAAAATATAAATCAGACATATTTGTATTTTAAAAAATATCATTTCCAACAATATGGCAGTATTGAATGTATATTAAGCTTTTTTTTTTTTTACACTTGTGTATCAAGCACCTATGATGCTGAAAATTCCAGTTTCATTATAATCTCATTTGAGACCCTTTTCTTTTCCTATATTCTAAAAAAATAATTATAAATGAATACGTCAGTTGTCAAAATGAATAATTAAATGTTATACAAATTTACACATTTTTCATTCCCTTCACTTTTTATCAATAATGCATTTGAGAGATAGATTTTCACAATAACTGCTATAACTATAGCTACTTTTGCAGACACCTTGGGCAAATATAGTAAGCAGATGTCTATTTCATAATATGATGAGACCATGATTAAAGTCATGTTCAGTACACACAATCAAGGTGTGTTTCCTACTAGTCTGTCTTGTTAGACAGGTTCTGCACTATAAACTGTTCTGACTGTTAAAATGTATACAGTGATAGGACATGCATAAAAATGCTTTAAGTTTAGTACATGTATAATTTGACTATACTTTGACTTATTTATCTAAAGTAAGAAAATCTTACTCTTGTGACATCATGCACTTCATTTCCCCCCTGCTTTATGTTAGTTTTATGTTAGTTTCTATCAAATCAACTCAATTTGGCTAGTTTATTTTATATAAAAGAAATGTAAACTTTCATATAAACATGCCAATCTGTATTCTTGGAATTATCCTATTAACAAATCAATTACAACACAATAGGTGGTCAAATGGTCCATGTTGCCTGTTAATTGAACCTTGAAGTCTGAGTATCCACTACAGGAGGGCCTATAGTTTGATTGACATATATGCAAATGAGGGCAGCATGTTTTGTTACTCTATTATGTCATCCAGGAATAAACACAAGCCATCTAGAGTACTTACAAGTTACATTAATGATATTTTTTTAATGCATGTAGGAAGTCGTACACGACATAGCTGATACTATTCCACAAATCAAAATTTGATACTTAGCATAGTAAAAGAGAGACTAGCCAGAATGAAGGATGATATAAGAATACTATCTGACCTGCTGAATTATTTCAATTGCAGAGGAACCCCCAGAAGAAAGTTGTCTCTGTCCAGTATAGATACACCACCAACATGTGCATCAGCCAATCAGGAGCAGGCCAGCTCCTCAGAATCAGGTATCTATAGCAATTCTTATTAATAATTAAATGAATTTTTACATGTTAATGAATTTTTTTTGTCAAATTTTATAGTCCCCCATTTTATTTTCAGTTTTAATTAATTTAAGTTTAACTTCTATGTTTCATTTCTGCTAGGGTTAAGAATAATTGATGACCCACTGGTCAGGGTCCTGTGAATTTTTAATCTGGGCTAGTAGCCTAGTTCATTGTAATGTGCATGTGCCCTTTGGGTCAGTGTTTTTTTTCTATTTTTAGAAAAAAAATAACTATTTTGGCCCTGTGTGTTCATTGTGTATAAAATTATATGTGAATTTACATGTATATATTTCAATTGAGAAATTTTCATATTATTTCACTTCAAGAAAGTTGAGGGAGCTTATATTATTTATGCATGCAAAGGCATCTGATATAAGTATTGTTTTGTTTCCCAGAGTTTTACAATGTAATTTACAAGGTTAAAAGCATATTCAGACTTTTAAATGTGCTTTTCTCTTTAAATCTTTTTTTTTGGGGGGGGGGGGGTGTTTCTAGTTATGCCTGTTAGAGGAGTTTCCAAGCTATCCAATAGAATGGTACTATGTTTTAACATTAGGCCATAATAAAAATATTCCTAGCATATTTTAAACCCCCGATTTTTTATTTCTGTTTTTCTTCGTCTTAATTCTGATGTGCTCTATCATTCTACTTTCGTTTTAAATCTGTCAACATGATTTTGAGAGCTGAAAAGATGGTAATTGCTGTAATACACGCGTATATATTTAAACAAGGGTCATTGGTTGAAAAGATTGGTGATGATGTGAAGTAAGTGATAATGGAACCTTTACTATGAATTTTATTCTGGTATTGTAGATAAAATTACACCGATTGACTATCAATAAAAAATGTGCAAGATTGAAAAAATAAAAGATATAAAATGTTTTTAAAAAAATTCGGAGGCCTTAGTGGAGAGAGGCTTTCTTAACACTTTCATTCTTGTATATACACCTTCTCCTCTCTATTAAGGCAATCAAACCAAATCTGTGATAAGAATATGATTATCTAGATTAAGTTTTTATAACAACAACATCAAACTATTGATAACAGGTCTATCTCAAAATCAAATAAACCACACAGTCCCATTCTCTGGTTAGTATTTTGTGTCAAAAAAGACCTATTTTTCTTTGAACCTACTAATTAATTGTGAGCAGTTTATTGCTTAATTATGGTGTTTGATCTTGTAATGGTGGGATTTAAGCACTTAATTAGGGTAGTCTGTATTTCAATTTTGATTTAAATCAGTGACACAGCAAGAGAAACCAACATGATTTCCTGTGAGTAAAAGTTTAATGTTTTAAAATTGAATGTACTACTCAGCAATAAGTATTCTTTATAGAATTTATAGGTGCCAATTAGTACAATGTCAAACCCTTAGTTACTTTTCTTCAAATGTTCACTAATTGAGCATCTGTCAAATTCATTAAGTATACGAATAATGTTCATTTTGTTGGGAAGATTACTTTGTAAGAATAAAGAGAGTACCCTATGAATATGAAAATTGCTGTGAAGACCCAGTGAGCTTTCAGGAATTTTAATGCATTATACAAATAAGATGTATTTAGGCAGTGACACTATTTGCACAGATTCAGAATGATGGTCCTTCATTAGTAGGCAGATTAGTGTTTTGTAGGATAGTCCTTGATTAATGACCAGGCCCCTGTATAGACATGTTTGTCGGGGAGCTTACTGGGCTAGCTTGGGTGTGTGAACGTCAATAGAAACAGACCATTCAAGGGATTAAGTCCATTAATTTCCCTAAAATCTCATTTTCTTGTTTATACCCCAGATTTAGATGCTTTTTAATACAGTGAAATTTAGCATATGTGCCTTATGTTTATACTTGTATAGTTTGAGTAGAAGCTGTACTGAAGAATTTACTGACACACTGAAGTATCTCAAGTCGCTTGTTAAAGGGAGAAAACCTTAAGTTTGATTTGATTGTACTAAATGAAAAATGTAGCAGTTTGTGTGTAAATCATAAATAATTAAAGAAAAGAAGAAAGCCTGGCCAAGATAGCAGTTTTCATATCAAGCTGGCCACTTCTGACAGTGCAGTCTCCCTAATCCTTTGTGAGAGCACTGTATAGTCCTAGCTAACTTTCCCTGGTCTATTGTAAGTGTAGAATCCTCTGCTAGGGACAGTAGATCATCACTTGAATTGTTGAGGAGTATTTCCTCTCCCTCTGCCCAATTGCTGTTAATGTATGACTGACAAGAGGACAAAAAATAAAGACAGATGACAGATTTAATGTTCTGGTCACTTAGTAAGGTGTGAGGGGAACTGACAGCTGGAAGGGGCAGAGGAAATAAACAATCTTTTATATTGTTTTTCTCATAATGGGTTATGTATTTATTTAGCATGTTATCATGTCTATTGTTATGAAGTGTTCCTGTGTCTGAGGGTTCAAGAGAGATAGGGAGGAGTTAATTGATGTTAATTCTAAACATGGTCCCCAGACACTGACTCAAGTGACAAAATTTAGTGTTACAATTATTGTACAGCATCGATAAAAATTTCATAATAAAATTAAAATATTTACAGAAATGTATTCTGGCCATTTTATATTTGAAATAATACTAGCTTCAACTAAAAAAATAAATTTATAATTAAAAAAAAGATTAACTCTTTTATAATTATATAAAAAAAAACTTTTAAACTTTTCAAAAAAAGATTTTCTTTGTGAATTTCACGTTTGCCCTATTTTGAATCTTACACTTACATGAAAATCTTTGATCTAAGATTAAAAGTAACAAATTCATCTTTTCATATGAAATAAAATGAATTTTAACTTTGACAAAAGGAAGACAAATGAGGAAGACGTATACATGTACCAGGTAATTCTCTGTCACTGCAGTTAAATTTTTAAGGAAGTTTGAAATCATTGGCACCATCAATTAAGACCTCATAAATTTACACTGAAGGTGTTGAAATTCTATGTTTCTAAACATTTTCTATTGTATTTAGGTACTTAATGTGCCATAAAAGTGATATCTTACTCTAATCCTATAAATCCAATGTTACAATTAAGATTTTTCAAACTGATATTTCAATATGTTTTATGACAACTTATCAAAGTCATCTTGAGCCCTGTAGCAGTGTACAGATTCTGATAAGTGGAATAAAAAACCTGTTCTGTCCTAACCTATTGTGATGATGAAACGACAATTAACTTTTTACTATCAGCTGAGCTTGTAGCAGCAGATGGCCATTGGTCAGTTGTAGTATTTAGCCTAGGAGGTTACTCTGAGAGCTTCATTCTAGAGTCCAGCATTGGGTAGTCAGGGTGTGGGTTGTTTTTTTCTCTGGGGGTAACTGACACTTAAAGTGTTAAAACAGTGGGAGAAATTTACACAGGACAGTGAGGAACACTTGTAGTAGTGTAGATATACTTGTGTGCTGAGGGTGTGATTGACTATTGAAACTTAATTAACTAGAACCAAATTTGAAGACTTTGAAAGTGTGAAAGATGATTAGTCATGAGATGGATCCTTTATTTTTTCTTGAATTGAAATTTAATGGTATGTATGAGTTCTGATTTTATACATTAAATGAAAAATGGGTGCATGTCTTTTAATTCAAATAGTATATAAAAAAAAAATGGAGTATTATTTAATTTTTGTCTTCCCAATGACTATTTTAAAATAAAGGAACAGTTTTGGAACATGTTATACAATTCTTTGTTTTAAATTCAGGTGATGAAAAATTAAAAAAGCTAACACGACTAAAATTAATCAAAAAAAAAAAGATATATTAAAAAAAACATTTAAATTAAAAATATATTACATTCAAAAATAAATTAACTTTTGTGTTGATTTGCAGGAATTTAGCAAACTTTATTATCTTGTTTATCAGACAATTGTTTTGACATTTTGTTGTTCCTAAAGAATGTTTAAAAAGATGTTACTCAGGTTAGTCCTGTTTGTACATGGTCAATATTATTTCTACCCAGTAGTGGCTTCCCTTTGAAGTCAGAGTTACGGGCCCTGGGACAATCCCAGAACAAGTTGAACAGGAGGTGTGGGTGCTGTATATTTGTGTTCTGGGTTGGTTTTCCTGTGTCTGTTGTAATATTTATGTAAGGTACAGGCTGATTACAGGGCAACTATCAAGGGGGAGTCATTCCGGTTATATAACGTGTAAGATCATCCTGCGAAGATAGAAATCATTCATTACACATAGGAGATCATTCAGTAAATATAGGAGCACATGTTTGGTAGTAGAAGGTAGTCAGGAAGAGTACAGTAGAAATAGTAACAAAATGCAGATTTTTTTTTCTTGTGACAATAAGGATTTTGCCAGTCTTTACCATGGTAGGCTGAATTGATGCTTATCATTTCAGAGCTGCTTTCAGCTAAATTAAAACTTGATTAATTGTTCTTTTTTATTTGTGTATTGTATTAGTTTTTCTTTATTTTCAGGGTGTTTTGTGGATTCCCCCACCCTTGTGGACTCTCCCACACTGGAAATGAGGTAATTTTGTTTTAAAACATCTGTAGGAAAAAGACTTCTCTTTCTTTTAAAAAAAAAAAATATATATATATAGTAATATTTCTAGCAGATTTTAGTGAAAAAAGACCTACATTCAATTTCTGAATAAACAAGGCAAAGGACAAGATTATGTGGTATGTTTGCCAAACTGAAATTTGCTAAAAACTGTATTTGATTTTTAAAAGATTAAAACAATAGAGCAGAAAATAAGAAAAATACTGACAACTCTATGTAGCATGGTATCTAAATCATTGAGGTTACACAGTGGGGGTCCTTATCTCTCTCAGACTGCTCAACTTATCAGGCCTATCTTCTGATAGAGACAGGGGGCCCATTGTCAGGTGTAAAAAATTACTATTACTGGGTACTGTTTGTCAGGGCTTAAAAATCACTACCCTACAAAACTATCCAATTATAGAAAAGACACCAAAACTTGGGATGTTTTAACTTTATATACCTAGCAAATGTATAATATCATGGTGGGTTTCTACACTGAGTAGATGAAGAATAAGATTCTATAAATCTATGGCTGAGATTTGAGAGCTTATAGGTTGATTGTACATAGATAATTACATAGTACTCTGTGTAGGTCTAGACAGTTTCTATAAACACATCCCAATCTATTGTTAGACCAACTTTCATTGTAGGACAAGAGGAAATGGGGAAGGTATTCATGAAGTTTCCTCTGTGATTATGAAGAATCATGCATTTATAAGTGTTAAATAAATTTGGGCATTGGTAATTTATTGGGAAATGTTTCAGAGGAAATTTGGCTTATATATAAGCTTTACAAAACCAGAACAATATGAAACTGATGTTTGCAACTTTCTTGGGTGAAAAAAAGAATAATGGATAAAGTAACATTCCATTTAAACAAAAGTTAAAATTCATGAAGTTGATGGTGCAACTTTTTAAAAATAAATGAATAGACGATGTCAGTTTAAAGTGAGTGTAAAGTGATCTAAATAAGAAAAAAAAATCAATATATCAAAACAATATTCATTTGCCTAAGTTTTCCCTCTAAGCAGATCAGTCTTGTCAAACAGTGTATTAGGTATTGATTTTAGTGTCCTAGCAGCAGTTTATACCACATAAAGTTTGCACTGTAAAGTCATAAATTGTTTTTTCTGTCTTAACTATCATAGCCATGAGGCCCATTAATTGGTAGATTTTCATTTGTTAAAATCGAGCCCCAAGACTAGAGAACAATTGACCAATACCCTGTCCACTACTTATGGACATGTTCTTAAACTGATCCTGAAATCCATCAAAATTGATAGGTGATGCAATTATTAATTGATTTGAACAGTGTTCTGTTTTGTTCAACATTATTTTAAAGATTTACAACAGGGGCAGTATGTGTAGAGTTCATTTATCAAAAGAGAAAATGTCCTCCAAACAAAAGAAGGAAATGGGGGAATTAATTACTAGACATGTAGGGTATAAATCAATATTGGAGACTGAAAATAGATTGATTAAACCTGGTGACATTGGCAGGGTAAAAATTGTAATCAGGGGCCTGTTTAACAAAAGAACTTACGACTAAGACCAAACGATAACTCTGCTTATAATTGACATTAACATTAAATAAAATTTAAATTCAATGAATATGCTTTTAATCTTATGAAATGAACTACAAAGATATTTTATTTCAGTAATAATTTATGCAGAATCATCAAATTTACAAATCTTTGTTGTAAGTTCTTTTGTAAAATGTATAACTAGGTTGCTGAAAACTGCTAGCTTTACAACCATCAATCCACCCATCCACCGACCCCCAACCCCCCGAAAAAAACCCTCAATATTCATATTGTACAAAAGTGAAATAAAAAGATGAATTTAATTTGATTGATTTGAACTAAGGTCAGTCCAGATTTTTATTATCCGTAGGCTGATGCAGAAAAAGTTGTGTGATACATATCAGGTCAGAGGAAAAATATTCTTTTGATTTTTTGTGAATATGACATAATATTGATGTCAGAAATGTATGTAAATAACATAAGCATGATGAAATGATTACCTCACTGCAGTGCTAACATGATGTGGCTGTTACTGAGTGGCCTTTCCATGTATTACGTACCTGATATTCAACAGACAGATTTGTTTGTTCGTTGTTTACCGTCCCTTTCGAAAAACATCGAAAAAACATCGCCGTTGTTTTATGAAGAACTACTTCTCATAATCACATCTGGGCGTTATTGTGTTTCCATCAAACGTTTGAAAATCACAGTAGAACAATGTCGGCCGTTCTGATAAAAACTGATTTTGATGAAATTGTATTTTATAAAACTTGGTTGACAATAAAAAAAATTTTGAATCATCATATTTAAAAAATCTTTTCAGTCGGCGCGATTTAATTGGGTCGGTCGCGTTAGGGGAAACAAAGGTATTTTTTATTTTGGCCTCATATTGTACAAAAGTGAAATAAAAAGATGAATTTAATTTGATTGATTTGAACCCCCCCCCCCCAGAGGAAAAATATTCTTTTGATTTTTTGTGAATATGACATAATATTGATGTCAGAAATGTATGTAAATAACATAAGCATGATGAAATCATTACCTCACTGCAGTGCTAACATGATGTGGCTGTTACTGGGTGTGTAGTAAGTTCTGCCCCCCATACTTCACACCTTACTGCAGGTATTAGTATGTACATGTAAGGTAATGGGGCCATTAGGTAGGACAAGGTGCTCTGACAGTGCTTGATGTAATATGTTAATTGATTGCACTAGTGACTAGTAAAACAGACTTTAAAGTGCACTTGTCAGAATATGTAATAAGCTTGTCTTTGGAGAGGATCAAAGTTTTAATGTACAAGTACATTTGTGTATAAAAATTTTTGAAAGGAATCACTACCCCCCAAAATATTTTTATGCCATCCTTCCCCTGACAAAAAAAAAACTTCAACTTTCTTTTGTGTTTTATATTAATTTATCCTAAAAATAATTTAAATCATGAAATGTAACAATGATATTTTAAAGTTGCTCTAAATATGGTCCAAGTAATTTGTATAAATTATTTACGTTCTTTGTTCATTAATTTTTGATATTTTTGTACTAAGTGCCAAGAAATAAATTTCATATATAAATATTTTTCTCATGACTTGTTCAATAGATTTAATAAATGGACAAAGATATAAAAGTTTTTGAATTAAAATATAAATTCATAATAAACATAAAACAAGCTTGTCATTTTACTGTGATTGTGTAAGATGCTAGCATGTTGTTTTCTCCAAGACATGTAAGCTTTCATTATTAAATTATCTTGGAATTAGACAGGGTGAAGTTCTTTGTCCTTGTCTGTTTTGTTCTCTGCTTAGTAGAATCAACAATTTTAGGTCTGCAGGAATTTCTGTACAATGATAACAATAGGCAGTTAAAGTTCAGGCCACAAGGAATGTAGAATTAACACAGACATGGTGTTCCCAGGGAAATTATTTCTTACGCATTGTGAGGCCCTGTTAGACAGTTTCCACTTGATTTGATAATGATGTCACTACCTATGCTGGAAACAAATTATCGAACTTAGTTGTATTTGTGAATTATATGTAGGGGGTGGTTGTAGTTTATGCTTCATTTGATTCACTAGGTTGAAATGTCATTAACATTGATTAAATTTTATTGAATTCCAAGTTTCCACTTTAACAAGTATACTGCTAGGTGAAGATTTCATTTGGTGTTAAATAATTGATATGCATAAAAATATTTTATACAAAAGCAACCATTAAAATTTATGTCAACATAACAAAATATTTGCATTATAAACAAATACTTTACACATATTGTTAGCTAGTTTTAACGGGTAAAGGAATTCAGACAAGCTATTTTGATAGAAATTACTCAGTCAGACAGTTGCTCAAATTGATAAGCAGGTAGATTTTTGATTTGTAAATCTTTTTCTGTAAAGTGTGAAAAGTGTGGAGGTCCCCTCAAAAACCACATATTAGGGGGCAGTATAGTCTTAGAAGATCAAAACAAGAGAAATTGTTTGCATTTCTACTCAGTTTATACAAAGTCTGTGTTTTCCCTGGCCTATCTGCTTACAGGTGTATAATCTTATTGTGTGTCTTAATCAGATTGGTTCTGGGGTGTTAACTGAAGGCCCAGGTTTTAAATTATCCTGGGCCCCTGTTTAAAGAAGAGAGTGAAAGGAGATGATAGGTTTAGCCCCCAGACAAATTCCCCAGAATAAAGGCTCAGTGGGGCTGCACAAGCTGTGACCTGGTTATGTAAAGGACAGTAACTCTGGAATAATCAATGAAGATAACAAAAAAGAAAGTAATTCAATAGATAGATAACACCATACAATAGACGGTGCTTTCTATGAAAGTTATTCCCTCCTTTTTTCACCATTCTACTTTGTAGTTCATATCGATAGTTTTGGACCTAAACATTTTACCCTACACATGTATGGTGAAATGGCATTTTTGTCCCATTGTACAAGATTGCTTTATTATAAGATATCTTTGAATCAAACAGCATCTCATCAGATTCTGAACCACAAAGTCATTGTTCTGATATTGTACCATATGCCTCTATGCAGCTGTGCAGATTAACGTATGCAACCTATAAATGTTTGTTCAAGAGATTTCACCTGGCATTACAGCGGTCTGTCTAAGTCTTAGTCAGACTTAGTGGAGGAATGGGGTTATATTGATTGTGGGGGACTGCAGGTGCTCCCTGATAATTGTCAGGTATTACACACGACAGCCATGACATTAGATTCATTCACAGATAAATCATTTCTTTCTATTGGGTTTTTAGGGGAAAATGGGAAAATTTACAAGACAAAGATTTTAAAGACAAGAACAAATGACACAGCAAAGGTTGAACTGTCCTACAGTAGAATTCAATTATATATGTTATAAGAAGATATTTCTGAGGCAAGTGTTACTAGAGTCCCTTGTTGCATCCATATTTTACTCACCAAAAACTTGCATAGATTTTAGTTTTTACATTTAATGCGCTGTCAGACTAAAGTTACCCATACCCAACATCTAAACCCCCCATCCACCCAACTAAGTATTTAATTTAACTGGCTCTTTATACTGACCCTCAATGATTCTGTCAACAAATTCAGTTTCTCATGACAATTTTTTATGTAAGGTTATTTTTAATGAAATTGTAGAATTACTACCACCAGTTCTACAAATAAAGAATCGGGGAGACATTTGGTGAGACATGTAATATCTTATGTGATAATTAGTCTTTCACACATTGATTATCATATTAAATAGGTGACCATGTGCCCTGATGATTGTAAAAACAATAATTAACCTAGGGTTTGTCTAACCATCAAAGGCTATTAACTATCTGGTAAGGTAGACAACTTTTACCCATCACTAGAATCACATCAGGGCACACACTGGGAGATTGGCCTCCAAACAGCACAAGGAAACAGGAGGTGTTGTAAACACACCAGAGCTAGCAGCTTGGATCCTGTTTCCTGATTATAAAGGGATTCTTACAATAAACCAGCAAATTCAGGAAATTTGTAAATAACAAATCAATACAAAGAGAAAAAAACACACAACAAAACAAACTTTGACATAAACTGATTTATTTTCAGTAAATAAACTATGAAAATCTTTTAATTTGAATTAGTCAAAATGTGAATTATATTTAATTTTTTTAGTCAAATATAGAAAAAGTTTAGGACAAAAACATTTAAAATAAAGTTGACATGCTTAAAGAAATAAGAAATTAAATCAGTTATGAATTACAACCCCCTTTTTACATATATACAATTTTATGACCCTTTAAAAAAGAAACATGTGATTGCAATATACCCTGAAGTAAAGAGAGGTCTTTGATGTTTGATTAACAACAGGAACAGGTGGAATTTTACACCTAGGATAAGATCTATCTTTACATCCACTAATCTTCCAATTCATCTTGACCTACTCTAGAAATTAATTTAGCAGGTAGAAGCAAGCAGATGATGCCAATAAAATCAGAATTTTTTTTTTGTTCTTTGTGAGGAATAATTTATTTATTTATAACTGTATGAACATTTTTGAGAAAAAAAGTATATGTTTAATGTATTTGAAGTCTCTTGGTATTTTTTCCCTTTCATAAATGGGATTTGATAAAACAATAGGTATACTGTGTACCATGTGTACACAGGGGCAGTAACCCCCATATGGTCTCTTCTTTGATGTTTGTACAGGGGGGAGATAATTACAGGTAGCTCCACTGTGATGTTTTAGGGGGACTACACGGAGGTCTGTTAATTACAGGTAGCCTTACTTTGTGTAGCCCTAATTAACATCCCTGGCTACTTTATGGGCTCCCTGTTAATTGGCTTTACACAGATTCTGATTGGTGGACAGGTAGGGAGGGATACCTGGCCTATTGTTTTTACCTGTAGGGGGCATTCATTCTTACCTGTTAACCCAATCTGTGTACACCTGTGTCATCCTCCTCAGGTACTGTTACTGTTACTGTGACTTATGATCAGCTGACAATAAACAGTTAGTGAGCCACAGACAAGATTTTCAAAAGATTTATATAATTTTCATGCTACTTCCTAAACTCATATTGTTTTTAAATGTTTTGAATTTTTTAGCAAATTCTGTAAGAAGAGAAATTTCATTAAGATATGTTTTGTTTGATGCTGATTCATGAATTCAGTGTAATTTATTTCATTTTCTTTCTTGCAGTTTGAACCGATTTGCCAAAACAGTGAAGCCTGAGATCCCAGTAGAAGCATTTACAAGGTAAGTCTAAGTTCTCGTTAATTAAGTCCCAGGTAATTAGTCACCTTAGTGTTAGAAAGAGAAATAAAAGACTGCAGTATTTGTGGAGGGAGCTTTCCAAAAGTCATCAGATGTTGTTTGCTAACAGGAATGTTAGTTATGTGCTGTATAACATACCTATTGAAAACTATCTATAGCAAAACAGCCATATTCATGGACCCTTTCTCACCACTTGTAAATAGAACATCTTTGGCATCTTCCTATGTCCCCCCCTTTGAAGAGGGGAGGGCATATTGCTTTGCTGCTGTCTGTCCATCTGTCCACCAAGTTTCCGTTCATTTCCTTCACCACCGTTGAACATACTAAAATGAAATTTGGTATTCAGATTTATCATAACAATATCAAAATTAAGATCTGTTTATGGGTACGATCAAGCAATTCAGGACAGAGTTGTGCTCCCTGGATTTGTAAAAATTCCAATTATTGAAGTTTCTGTTCATTTTTTCTGCAGCGGTTGCACATACTGAAATAAAATTTGACAGGGATTAAATTTTTCTCCAGCTTTTTTTTTGAAGTATGGTACTACCAAACAATTTTTATGTTATATAGCATATAACTGGTTACTGTTTGCAGACAACAACTGATGACCTTTTGAAAGCTCCCTCCACATATGGTTACTACTAAACAGAGAGCCCTAAAGAACCTTAGAGAACCCTAATGATTTTTAATCATTTATTGTCTGTAAATGAAATATTTATTTTTGAAATAACCAAAATACCATATAAAAATTGAATTTGAAAAAAAAGAATTGAGTTGTTTTTACTTAATTTGAACAGATTATAATAATCTCTAAAATCTTTATCATGTTTATCATTCCTTTTTATATGATAAAATACGATAATTTTCTCCAATTCTGTGACTAAAAATTCCCAATTCAACTGTGAAGCAAAAGATTACGACGACATCGTATTTCTTGTTAAATGAAAAATTGTACAAGTTGACTAATTGTTTCACTTCCGCTTAAATCGAAAGTAGAGAAAGTCGTAATTTGGCGGGAGCAGTGGTTTAAAATTTACATTTTGACAACTTGAAAGCATGACAATTAAAACAAGAAACGTTGATATAAAAAACAATAAGTATTTGTTGTTTATTCTTTAAAACAAGCAGTAATAGGTAATTAAGTTGAAATAAATGCAAAATACATTGCCATTTGCATACATAAAAGAAAATTCTCCTTTGTTTTTCTTCGATGCTATTTTTCCCATTTGAACCTGTACCAGACTCTTTCCCAATGGGTGGAAAAAAATCGCTGTAAGATGATTATTTCAATAAACATAATTTTTGAAACTCAGTCGGGATAAGGGTGTCATGAAATGTTTCACTGTCTAATTTGTCACATTTTCCCACTATTTTTTAGAGAAAACCTAATTGATTTTATTTATAGAATATGATTGATTTAGAAAAAATCAACCAAATTATGCATCCAATTTATAAAATTTGCTTAATAAACCCCAAGTTCTCTAGAGTTCTCTGTTTAGTGGGACCAGTTTACAAAAGGCCTGAATACCACTATATAGATAGGTTTCGATAGGTCAGAATTTAGTGAGAGTTATTTCCCGTTGGCCGCCATACTGGAGGTCCAGTTGCCTATATTCCTTCATTGTTCTACCAATTTTAAAATTTAATATTTGCTATATTGAATTAGGAATTATTTTTTCTGAAATACATAAATTTTTGAAGCCTCATTTATTTGAAAAAAAAAAATTTAATGCCCTGTTCACACGGAGAGTTTAATTCGAATTAAACGTAAAGTTACTGCGAATTAGCTTCGCTTAGCGTTCACACGGAGAATTTAATGCGAATTAGTTTAATTCGAATTAATTTACTGCGCATTAAATTACTTCGCATTAGCTCCGTGTGAACGCCAAGCGAAGCTAATTCGAATTAAATTTTGATGCATGCGTAAGGCCAGAATTGAGTCACAGGACACGTGTTGGTGGTTATATATAGGTATTTTTGTTATATTTGGTTCAAAAATTGAAGGAAAGTATGTTAATCACTAAAATTAATGAATACCTGCAGTCACTACATGATTATCAAAGGATGGCTCTGCATACATGATGTGATTTACAAATGACGTCATAATAGACTTACTGACGCCTGACTGTAGCAGAAAAAATTTAATTCGCATTAGTGTACTTCGCATTAGCTGTCGTGTGAACGCAATTTAATTCGCATTAATTTGATTCGCATTAGTTTACTTCTCATTAATTTACTGCGAATTAAACTCGTCGTGTGAACAGGGCATAAATATTTTCCACCAAATATTTTTGCTACAACCTCTTAAACTTAGTAAGACAAAAGAGGAAACATCACTGAGGGTCGACCTCCAATATGGGGGCCAACAGGAAGTAACTCTTGCTAAATTCAGGGCTATCAAAAACTATGTATTGGAGGTCCAACAAGTAAATTAATCTTCTTGGACAAAGACCAGAAGAGATTATTAGAAAGAAATGTGTCCATCTATATAGTATAATCACTATTAACCGCCCAGGCGCTTAGAAAATTGAAAAAAATAAGCATCATTGGTTTTGAAAGATTGGTGATGATGTGTAGAAAGAAATATAAATAAGTAGATAGACCTAACTATTTCTTTTATACAGTCATGATAAATAAATCTGCACTAATTAATCAGGTCAATGAAAATGTATACTATGAAAAAAAATTAAAATCCAACATAAAGCAACATATAAGTCATGAAATTATACTGTACAGAAAATTTGAGAAAATACTAAATCAAATCTGTGTCTATGCACCTTTAAAAAGAGAACTTTTATTATATAAGCATGATAAGTGGATGTACACAAGAATGCTAGTGAGCAAATAGCCATTTACTGATTATAAAGGTTACTTGAATCACTCTACTAGGGCTTGAGCAGTCTAGTCAGACCCCCAAACGGGGATATACCCCCAAACGAGGTTTTCCATCCCATGATGCAATGCGCAAGAACAGTAACTTGCTGTATCCAATATAAACAAACTTATCCTGCAACTACCCCTTGCATTGACCTAATAAAGGTAACCTAATAAGCCGAAGCTTTATCCGGTCACTGCCTTAATAAAGCCTCGTGCATGTGTTCCGACGTTCCAAAAGCATTGTGACATCACGTATACTGCAATGTTTATGCCATGGCGTCATAGTTTCAACTGCAGAGATGTGTCTAAATCTGCCGGAATTAGCTTGTTTTGGATGCTCAGATGTAAATTTTTGTTGCAGGATAAACAAAATAAATAACTGTCTTGAAATATAAGCATATTTGGGCTCGGGTCCAAAACGTAAGAGGGCTCGGCAAGCCTCGCCCTCTATCACGTTTTCTTACCCTCGCCCAAATATCGCTTATATTTCAAGACAGTAACCATGTATTTTATATTTATCTATATCATCTATCTAGGGAAAAAGGATCGATAATATTGTTATTTCTGCTATAAAATTGGTAAAATGTCAACAGAAAAAAATCAACAGGTTAAGTTCTCCATAATTTGAACTTATAATGTAGGAATAAAGAAATGTCAGTTATTTTTGTCTGTTTATCAAATATTTTATTTTATCTTAATTACCTTGATCAGGAACTGACAAATCCCATTGCCCGACGCCCGGGGCTAGTGAATTTTAGAGGCGGCAAGTGAATTTTTAATAGGCACTTGTCCGTTTCATAAAAAAAAAATCAATCAATATTTTTAAAAATGTCATAGTTTTCCATGAAATATTAAAATTATTTTGCTGTAAGAGTTATTCTTCCTTTGTTTGTCACACTTCGTATTGTGTTTAATTGTGTCATTATGCAATTCATTACAAGTTTTACCGAAAGTTTTAAGTACATGTACTTAATTGAAAGTGACAAATTGGCATTGGAGAAATGGAGAAAGTTTTGACAGTTATGAGGCAGAAAACGATCAAAAACTGATTATAAGTACATTGTTCATAACAATGTTAATGAAAAACTCAGTACAAAACCGTCTAAGCATACCAGGTATGAGAAAAGAAAAAAACAAAGGTCTGAAACCATTAATTTCACAAATAGCAGATATCATGACTATAGCTGAAATATGATAGCAATTTTACGTCTCTATATGAGCGGAAAATTCTCGAACGGGACGTAAAACAGCATACAATCAATCAACAGATTGTATGGTACTTAGTACTTAATGGCAGGTGGTATTAAATGTTGCCAATATTCAAAACAACAATCCTAGGATTCAAATTTTTTCGATTTAGAGACAAATTAATTCATTATGATGAATATTAGGGCTGGGCAATAATATCGATATTTCAATATATTGCAATACAATGACAAAAAATATCGTATCGCAATACGATTTTGTAATATCGATATATTGGCAATATACATAGATTAAGGAATTTTGTCATTAAATATAGAAATGGACTTATAAAAGTTTGTTATTAAGCCAAACAGTAAGTCAGAAGTTGTTTTGTGGTAAAATTTCAAAGCATAACTTAAATGAAATCAACAAGATTTTTTTCCGTGTTGGTTACTTATCATAGTTGTGTACATTCTGCATGTAAATTAAAGTAAATATAGTAAGAAAATGCCATTTTTATTACATTGAAAATATTGCAATACATATCGCAATACATTTAAAAATATCGCAATGTATCGCAATACGAATTCTCAGGCCAATACCCAGCCCTAATGAATATAAAGTGCTGGTTGGGCAAGTTAGAATTGAAGTAGGGCAAGTGAAATTTGACCATGCACTTGCCCATGGGCAAGTGCTTGAAAAATCTATTTGTCGGCCCCTGCTTGATGTCAAAGAGCTCGAGATCGCCAACTTTGCCAATGAATAAATCCTGATTTGTACAATAAAGTTGTATTTTTGTAAAATACAAACTCTTAGAACACCTTTAATCTATCATTTCCAGGTAGTTTTACATTTGTGAAATGATTGGTTACTTTGCACCATCATTTTTCGTAGAACCTCTACTTTTTCCATGAAATAGA